TTCTTATCCTGACCCTTACATTGATCCCTTGCCTTCTTGAAAAACCTGTAAACCAGCCCTGTTTGCTAGGACTGAGTGCTCTCCCTTGATTACAATCCGTAACCGTGGGTGAGATCCTCTCTTCCACCAACCGATTTTCGATCCTCAGTCGGTTGACTCGAACCATGCAGAACCGAGGATGTGGAGGGTCGACTGTACTGGCTAGTTCATATAAAAGACTTGAACATCCACGGAGTTTGGTATCTGCAGGGGGTACTGGAACCAATCTTCCTCGGATACCAAAGGACTATTGTAATTTCCCTTGATTTGGGGCTCAGATATTTGTTTTCTAACATAGTCCTCTCATCTTGATGTGGAAGGTCTAGCATAGGCAGAAATATGAAGTCAATGAGTTACTGAATTATCAGACCGTTCATTGTTTAGCTAAAGCTTGCCCATTTTCACCTCCTTGACTCGGATAAACTCATCTAGGTTGCCCTCTCCCAATCACCCCATCATGTACTTCATGAGGGGGGTCAATCGCTTTTGTCTTCCTTGGTTCCTTTTTGTGTTTCTCCTCTTCTGTGTGCTTCTTTTTTGAGGAGACTTAACTCTAGAAGTTCTTGATCCCCTAGGGCTCAGGAAATACATGGGCAGTGGGCAGAGTGCTTGCTGAATAAAATGAAGTGTGCTCAGACACAAGTGCTTAGGGACAGCTATCTCCTCACTGGATTCTTTAGTGGTGAAGCAAAACTGGCCACTTTAATAAGTAAGTCCCAACATTTTAGTGGTTTACCACAAAGAAAGTGTATTTCTCACTCATGTAACAGTCACTGTACATGTTCCTGGTGAGTGAGTACCTATCCTGACCATGGTGATTCAGGGACCCAGGTTCCTGCCAACTTATGGTGTCACAGTCCAAATGGCCTCTTTTGTTGCCTGTGTCTAGATGGCAGATGGGACAGAGAACTTCTTAAAGGTCTTGGCCTATAGGTGAAACACATCACTTCCATGCATATTTTGTAGTCGACTACTGATCTCATTGTCACATGTGTAAGTCAAAGGAATTAGAAAATGTAGTCCTTGATAGGGCAGTCATGTTTCAATTAAATTCCATATTACGGAAAGGTAGCACGATGTTGGTTGAAGCAAGCACTCAATGTCACTTCTTTACATTACATTAAAATAAATTTCCAGATGGATCAATATTTAAATGCACATTTTCTCCTCTTCAGCAAGTGGTATTGGGAAAGCTGGACAGCCACTGTAAATCAGGGAAGTTAAAACACACCCTCTGGGCTTCCCTGGTGGCGCAGTGGTTGAGAGTCCGCCTGCCGATGCAGGGGACACGGGTTCGTGCCCTGGTCCGGGAAGATCCCACATGCCATGGAGCGGCTGGGCCCGTGAGCCATGGCCGCTGAGCCTGCACGTCCGGAGCCTGTGCTCCGCAACGGGAGAGGCCACAACAGTGAGAGGCCGCGTACTGCAAAAAACAAACAAACAAAAAAACACACCCTCTCACCATACAAAAAAATAAACTCAAAATAGCTTAAAGACTTGTTAACATGACACCATAAAACTCTTAGAACATAGGCAAAACATTCTCTGACATAAATCATGCCAATGTTTTCTTAGGTCAATCTCCCAAGGCAATAGAAATAAAAACAAAAATAAACAAGTGGGACCTAATCAAACTTACAAGCTTTTGAACAGCAAAGGAAACCATAAATAAAGCAAAAAGACAACCTACAGAATGGGAGAAAATATTTGCAAATGATGTGACTGACAAAGGCTTAATTTCCAAAATATAAAAACAGCTCATTACAACTCAATAACAAAAAAAACAAACAACCCAATCAAAAAATGGGTAGAAGACTTAAATAGACAGTTCTCCAAAGAAGACACACAGATGGCCAATAGGCACATGAAAAGCTGCTCAACATTGCTAAAAATTATTAGAGAAATGCAAATCAAAACTACAATGAGGTACCACCTCACACCGGTCAGAATGGCCATTATTAAAGAGTCTACAAATAACAAATGCTGGAGAAGGTGTGGAGAAAAGGCAACCCTCCTAAACTGTTGGTAGGAATGTAAATTGGTGCAGCCACTATGGAAAACAGCATGGCAGTTCCTTAAAAAACTAAAAATAGAACTACCATATGATCCAGCAATCCCACTCCTGGGCATATATCCCGAGAAAACTCTAATTCAAACAGATATATTCACCCTAATGTTCACAGCAGCACTATTTACAATAGCCAAGGCATAGAAGCAACCTAAATGTCCGTTGACAGATGAATGAATAAAAAAAGATGTAGTACATATACACAATGGAATACTACTCAGCCATGAAAAAGAATGAAATAATGCCATTTGCAGCAACATGAATGGACCTAGAGATTATTATACTAAGTGAAGTAAGTCAGAAAGAGAAAGATAAATACCATATGATATCACTTATATATGGAATCTAAAATATGACACAAATGAACTTATTTTTGAAACAGAAACATAGAAAACAAACTTATGGTTACCAAAGGGTAAAGGGGGTGGGGCAGGGGTAAATTAGGAGTTTGGGATTAGCAGAGACAAACTACTATATATAAAATAGATAAACAACAAGATCCTACTGGATATTGACTGTATTCAACATCCTGTAATAAACCAAAATGGAAAAGAATATGAAAAAGAATATGTATTTATATGTATAACTGAATCACTTTGCTGTACACCAGAAACTAACACAACATTGTAAATCAACTATACTTCAGTAATAAAAAAAAGGAGTGAATTTTAAAAATTTAAAGTAGATTATAATCACTGAAAGGGAAACAGCTGTCTATTATGAAACAAAATCCAGAACTCATTTTAAAAACATTAGTTAATTCAACTACAAACAGAAGGCATGGCAACCAGCAAAATGGGGATGGGAGAGTAGGGGGGTGGGGAGACTCATGGCTCAAAATGGTCATTTCATTAGTATATGAATGGTTTCTATAATCAAGAAGAAAATTCTAACAGTCCAAAAGGGAAACCAGGAAAAGATATAAGATGATAGTTCACCCAGAGAGGAAATATGGTGAGTCTAAGCAACAAATTAAAAAAGTAAAATCAAAATAAGATACCAGTGGCACAACTCAAACATTTTAATGACATTCTGGGACAGGCTGTGGCAAAACAAAACTTCATGCACTGCTTATGAGGGTGTAAACTGATACAGCTTCTATGGATTTCATCATTAACTCTGAAATTTAAAATGGGATATCCTTGGGCTTCCCTGGTGGCGCAGTGGTTGAGGGTCGTGCCCCGGTCCGGGAAGATCCCACATGCCGCGGAGCGGCTAGGCCTGTGAGCCATGGCCGCTGAACCTGTGTGTCCGGAGCCTGTGCTCCGCAACGGGAGAGGCCACAACAGTGAGAGGCCTGCGTACTGCCAAAAAAAAAAAAAAGGGGGATATCCTTTGGCCCAGTAAATCCCTTTCTACAAAAACATCTCACAAATATAGTTCTTGTGCTCTAAGTAAAAGACATTCATTCACTTAGCACTGTTTATATCAGCAAAACGCTCTAAAAGACCCACAGATCTATCAATAGGGTTATGGCTCATTAATTTATGTTTCACCCATACACTGGAAAATTATAAAGCAATTCAAAAGAGTAAGATAACTCTACATGCAGTCATGTTAAGATCCTTTGACATATTTGGTGAACAATGTAATCTGCATACACAGTGCAATAATACTCATGGAAAAGATATACCTGCATATATTTTGATATGCCTGCAAATGCAAAGAAAACGGTTTGAAAGGATAAACACCCACTTTTTAACACTTCCGTTAAGAGGAGGAATGGGGCAGAAAGGAGTTTTAGGGCTGGCTTCTGGGTTATTTTCTTCTTTTCCACTTTTCATTCTATGCATTTACTTCTAACTGTTTACAAGGAGGATGTTATGTCTGTAGTTAAAGAATAAAAACAACTAAATTAGGTGTACCAGGTTCACCAAAGCCTTACCCTGAGAACCATGCTTCTGGATGATCCGCCCAAAGGTAAAAGCTGCCACTTAGAACACATGACATATCTGTGCCATTTGTGTGTGTGTGTGTGTGTGTGTGTGTGTGCGCGCGCGCGCGCGGGGGGGCGACCGTGAACCAGCCAAATTCTGCCAATAAATTGTGAGTCCTGTAGGACAGGCACGATTCCATTCGCCTGTAACACGTGTTTCTTGTATTCACTGAATCGTGAGAGGCTGGGCGCAGGGACACATTTGGGGCTGGTTAGGCTACCATGTGGCCGCCAGCGAAGCTCCAGCCTCCGGGCGCGAGCAGCCTGGGCTCAAACAGACTCCCTCAGAATTTCTCCAGGAAACCGTCGGGTGGGTGGAGATGGGCGCTCCGTCCAGCAGCGCCCTTCCAATCTGCTGTCCTGTTTGAGAACGTCGCCTTTCCTTCCCGGAAATGAGCCTTAATGCAGCTAAGGTTGCGCCAGAGGCGGCGCCCGGGCGGGAGGCGGGGCAGGAACCGGGGCCCGTAGCGCAGGGGCCGGAGGCGGGGCCGGGGCCGGACTCGGAGAGCTGGCCGCAGCCGCCGGCAGGGCCCGGCTCCGAGCCTCTCCCGGCTGCAGAGCCCGAGCCGGAGCCGGTCTCGGCGTCGGGTCCGGGACAGGAGCTCGAGCTGGGCTGGGCTGCGGGGCAGCGCGCAGGGGCCCCGCCGGAGTCGCAGCCTCTGCCGGCGTCGGAGTCTGAGAACGGAGTGTCCGAGAGGCCCCGCTGCCACACCGACTGCCTGGAGGTGCCGCTCTCCCGGGCCTTCCGGCGGCTGGGATGGGAGGTGGGCTCGCACCCCTGGATCTTCTTTCTGCTGCCCATGGTTTTAACGGCCGTCCTCGGCGCTGGCCTGATTCACCTGCCCAAGGAAGAAGAAGACGTCGAGGAGCAGTACACCCCGATAGGGAGCCCCGCCAAGGCTGAGCGACGCTTCGTGCAGGGACATTTCACCGCCAACGACTCCAATCTCTTCTCCATCGCCAGGAAGAGCACCGGGGTCAATTATGCTTCCATTCTAGTGGTCTCCAACACCAACTCGCTGCTGGAACAAGAAATCTTATCAGAAATTAGTGAAGTGGACGACGCGGTTCAGGCTTTGACTGTGACACAGGCAAACGGAACCCAGATCCTCTACAATGAGGTGTACTCGAAGAACCAGGGCTACTGTGTACCCTTCCACCCACTCTTGTTCGCCTGGAAAACGAACAGTGTCCTCAACCTGAAAAACATCACCTTCCCCATCTACAGCCTAGCCGGCCAGGTCGTGTACCTGGCCAACATCCTTGGAGGAACTGTGTTAGGCGAGAGCATGGGACTGAGCCAGTTACTCCTGGAGGCCAAAGCCATGCGGCTGCAGTACTACCTGAAGACTGGCGAAGGAGAGGACAGCGAACGCAGCAAGGCGTGGCTGATCCACTTCCTGAACCAAGTTGGCAACCTTGAAAAGAGTCTGGCCTTGAAGAAGATCCAGGTACCTAGCGGCTGGGGCTTTACAGGGAGGCCAGGAGAAGGTGGGAGGGATAAGAAGACTTTTCCAACAGCACTCCCTAATTACTTGATGGAGCCCTTGACTTGAAGCTGGGTGTGTTCTGCTGTATTTGGTCCTTAATCCAACTTTCTTAACATAGCGCACTGAAGAATGCCACAAAAGAATCTAAAAGAGTGGATATATGCCTATGTATAACTGATTCACTTTGCTGTACACCTGAAACTAACACATAATTGTAAATCAACTATACAACAAAATTTTTTAAAAATAAAATAAAAAAGAGAGCTAAGACGTAAAAAAAAAAAAAAAAAAAAAAAGCCAGAAATCTTAAATCCTTGGTAACATTTTGCTGAAAAACACAAATTGTACATCCTCAAGGTTGTTCTGTTCAGTACAGACATTGATCTTAAGGTTTAGTTTGGTTTTCTGGTCAAATTACTTTGAAATTTTTACTTTTAGTTAAAGTCTTTGCTGTTTCTGGGAGCCCCCTAAAATTTGTTTAGAGTTCAGTGGAATAAAAAAAAAAATCTATAAGCAAAAGTTCCATGGTTTTGTTGAAAAAGAATGCTGAGCATTTTAAAAGTAAATTATAGCATAGTGCCAGGCACATGTTAGCTGTTCAGTAATTGCTGGGCTGGCAAACCTAATACTCTGAACAAAACTGGTGAAAGTGAGACACCTTCTGGAAAAAGCCTTTGAATACCCAGTCCTTAATGAAATGATATTTGTGCAGTTAAAATAGTAAAAGATAACAACCTAATAAAAATTTAGAAAAGCCAAAATGTCTATAGTTATCAATGATTTTTTTTATATAAGATTCAGATTTCATATATTCAGGAGTTTTAAACTTTAGATTTTTGAAATAAACTTTGGAAAGCATGCCAGAGATTTGTGGGAAGAAGCAAATCTTTATTACCTTCTTTATTCTAAAATCATAATCCACATAGTTTGATTCTTTACTGAATTTTAATGTTTCAGTCAATAAGCTATAGTGTTTCAATATCATTTGTAACACACACAATATCGGAATTAAAAGTTACTTATCTGAGTATCTTTTTGTGGAAGATGGTCTACTTTACATCACTTTCTAGACAACTGGAATTTGAGCCAACTTCTATGACAGTGATCCCCTTGTTTCACTTGGCATACCTTCTAATCATATTATTTGCAATCACATCATGCTACAGGTAAAAGAATTTTATTAGTTTTTTAAACACTAACTTTAAAAAATATTTTATTGTGGTAATATATATGTATATAATGTATACACAATATATGTAACATAAAATGTACCATTTTAAAAACCATTAAAAAACAGTTATTCATTTAATTATTTGGCTATGCCAGGTCTTAGTTGCGGCACATGGGATCTTTATTTGCAGCATGTGGGCTCTTAGTTGTGGCATGCAGGCTCTTAGTTGTGGCATGCGGGATCTAGTTTCCTGACCAGGGATCCAACCTGGGCCCCGTGCACTGGGAGCATGGAGTCTTGACCACTGGACCACCAGGGAAGTCCCTAAAAACCATTTTTAAGTGTACAATTTAGTGGCATTAATTACATTCACACTGTTGTGCAACCATCACAACTATCTCTTTATAAATATGTTCCATCACCCCAAACAGAAACTGTAACCATTAAGCAATAACTCCCCATTGTCTCCCCCAAGTCTTGGTTACTTTTTAATCTACTTTCTGTTTCCATGATTTTGCCTATTGTAGAGATTTCATATAAGTGGAATCATACAGTATTTGTCCTTTTGTGACTGGCTTATTTCACTTAGCATAATGTTTTCAAGGTTTATCCATGTTGTAGCATGAATTCCTTTTTATGGCTGAATAATATTCCATTTTATGTATATACCACATTTTATCTACTTATCTGTTTATGGGCCCTTGGAATATTTCCGTCTTCTGACTATAGTGAATAATGCTGCAATGAACGTTGGTGTACAAATCTCTGTTTGAACTTGTTTTCAATTCTTTTCAGCATATACCTAGGAGTAGAATTAGTGGGTTGTATGATAATTCTCTGGTTAGCTTTTTGAAGAACCACCAAACTATTTTTCACAGAAGCTACACCATTTTATATCCCACCAGCAATGTGTAGGTTTTCCAATTTCTCCACATCCTCACCAACACTTATTTTCTGTTTTATTGATTATAGCCATCCTTGTAGGTATAAAGTGACATCTCATTGTGGTTTTGATTTGCATTTCCCTAGTAACTAATGATGTTAAGTATCTTTTTTATGTGTTTACTGGTCATTTGTATATCTTCTTTGGAGAAATGTCTATTCAGGTCCTTTGCCCCTTTTTTTTTTTTTTTGTCTGTGCCACACAGCTTGCAGGATCTTAGTTTCCTGACCAGGGATTGAACTCAGGCCCTTGGCAGTGAGAGCGTGGAGTCCTAACCACTGGACTGCCAGGAAATTCCCACATTTGCCTATTTTTAATGAAATTGTTTGTCCTTTTGTTGTGTTGAGTCCTATTTTTGATGAGTACTTTATATATTTTAGATATTAAATCCTTATCAAGATACATGATTTGCAAATATTTTCTCCCACTCTGTAGATTATCTCTTTACTTTCTTGATAATGTCCTTTAATGCACAAAAGTTTTAATTTTGATGAAATTCAATGTATTTATTTTTCTTTTTCTTTTTGCTACTTGTGTTTTGGTGTTATATCTAAGAATCCATTGACAAGTCCAAGGTCGTGCACATTTACCCTGTGTTTCCTTCAAGAGTTTTATGGTTTTAGCTCTGAAATTTAGGTGATTGCAATTTTTAATTCATAGTTGTATGTGATGTGGAGTAGGGGTCCAACTTAATTCTTGTACATGTGGAAATTCAGTTGTCCAAGTACCATTTGTTGAAGAGACTCTTCTTTCCCAGTTGAATGGACTTGGCATCCTTGTCAAAAAACAATGGGCTGTAGATGTATGGGTTTATTTCCAGACGCTCAGTTCTAGTCCATTGGTCTATATGTCAATCCATATACTAGTACCACTCTGTTTTAATTATTGTAGCTTTTTTATAAGTTTTGAAATCTGGAAATCTCAGCTGTCCATTTTTTTTTCATCTTAAGGTTATTTTGGATATCCAGGGCTCCTTGTGAATTTGAGTGTTGACCTTTCCATTTCTGGAAGAAAACGCCATTGGAATTTTGATAGAGATTGTGTTGAATCTGTAGATTGCTTAGGTGAGATTGTCATTTTGACAATATTAAGTCTTCCTCCCCATGAACTAAGAATGTCTTTCCATTAATTTAGGTCTTCTTTAGTTTTCATCAATGTTTTGTAGTCTTCAGCATACACGTCTTTCACTTCTTTGGTTAAATGCATTCCTAAGTATTTCATTATTTAAAACACTAAATGGAATTACTTCTTTAAGTTCGTTTTGAGATTGTTCATTGTGCATGGATAGAAACCGCTGAATCCTGTGTGTTTATCTTATAACCTGCAGATTTACTGAATTTGTTTACTAACGTTAGTAGTTTTCTTGTGGAGTCTTTGGATTTTTCATATATATAATCATATAATCTGTGCAAAGAGATAGTTACAATTCTTCCTTTCCAATTTGAATTCCTTTTATTTCGATTTCTTGTCTAATTGCTCTGGCTAGCACTTCCAGTACAATATTGAATATCATTGGTGAAAGTGGGCATCCTTATCTTGTTCCTGATCTTAGGTGGAAAGCTTTCCATTTTTCACCATTGAGTATGATGTTAGCTATGCAGTTTTCATTATTGACTTTATAACTTTGAGGAACTTTCCTTCCATTCCTTGTTTTCGAGTGTTTTTATCATGAGAAGATATTGGAATTTGTCAAATGCCTTTTCTGCATCTTTTGAGATGATCATGTGGTTTTTATCCTTTGTTCCATTAGTGTGGCGTATTACATTGATTGATTTTCCCATGTTGAACCACTCTTGCATTCCTGGGGTAAATCCCATATGGTCATGATGTATAATCCTTTCAATATGCTATTGAATTGTGTTTGCTAGAATTTTGTTGAGGATTTTTGTATCTATATTTATAAGAGGTATTATCTGTAGCTTTCTTGTGATACCTTTGTGTGGAATTGATATCAATGTAATGATGGCCTCATCATATGAGTTAGGAAGTGTTCCCTTCCTTTCAACTTTTTGGAAGGGTTTGAAAAGGATTGGTATTAATTCTTCTTTACATGTTTGGTAAAATTCACTAGTGAAGCCATCTGGTCCTGGACTTTTTTTGTTGGGAGGTTTTTGATTACTGATTCAATCCTTTTACTTGTTACATGTCTGTTGAAATGTTCTATTTCATCTTGAGTCAGTTTAGGTCTTTGTGTATTTCTAGGAATTTGTGCGTTTTATCTAGGTTATCCAGTTTGTTGGCATAAGTTGTTAATAGTAGTCTCTTATAATCCTTTACATTTCTGTAAGTTCAGTAGTAATGTCCTCACTTTCATATCTGATTTAGTTATTTGTATCTTTTTTATTTTCTCCTTTGTCACTCTAGATAAATGTTTGTCAATTTTGTTGATCTTTTTCAATAACCACTTTTGGTTTTGTCTATTGTTTTTCTATTCTCAATTTCTATTCTCAATTTATCACTGTTCTAGTTTTTATTATTTTCTTCCTTCTGTTAGCTTTGTGTTAGGTTCTCTCTTCTTTTTCTGGTTCCACAAGATGTCTAAATCCACAAAGTGGTTTGAGATCTTTTCTCTTTTTTAATGTAGCTATAAATTTACCTCTGGGCACTGGTGTCACTACATCTCATAAGTTATGGTATTTTGTATGTTTGTTTTCATTTTCCTTATAAATTATCTGCCTAGATGTTTTATCCATTATTGAAAGTGATGTATTGAATTTGCCAACTATTACTGTAGAGCTATATATTTCTCTCTACAATTCTGTTAATATTTGCTTCATATATTTTGGGTCTCTGTTTTGTGGTTAATTTATGTTTATAGTTGTTATATCTTCCTGATTCATTGACCTTTTTATCAATATATAGTGTCCCTCTGTCTCTTTTAACAGTTTTTGAAATAAAGTCCATTTTTGTCTGACATCAGTATAGCCACCCCTGATCTCTTTTGGTTACTATTCATATGGAGTATCTTTTTAAATCCTCTAACTTTCAATCTATTCATGTCTTTGGATATAAAGTGAGTCTCTTGTACACAGCATATAGTTGAATCATGCTGTTTTATCCATTCTGACAATATCTGCCTTTTGAATGGAAAGTTTAATTTATTTAGATTTAAAATAATCGCTGACAAGGAAGGACTTGCTCCTGCTGTTTTGCTGTTTGTATTCTGTATATATTATAGCTTATTGTTCTTCATTTCATCCACTTACGCCTTTTTTTTTTTTTTGGCCATGCTGCACAGCTTGTGGGATGTTTTCTTTAATACTCATCTTTTTTTTTTTTTTTAAATTTTATTTTTTTTTGCTGCTCCATGGCATGTGGGATCTTCCCGGACGGGGGCACAAACCCGTGTCCTCTGCATAGGCAGGCGGACTCTCAACCACTGCACCACCAGGGAAGCCCAGCTTGTGGGATCTTAATTCTCCGACCAGGGATTGAACCCAGGCCCAGGCAGTGAAAGCTCCAAGTCTTAACCACTGGACCAGTGAATTCCTGATTTATGCCTTCTTTTATGTTTAGTTTCTATTTTTCTAGTGAGCTGTTTTGATTCTTTTTTCATCTCCTTTTGTGATGGTTTTTAGAGACTTTCTTTGTGGTTACCATGGAGATTCATATAACATCTTAAATTTAAAATGATCTATATTAAATTAATACCTACTTAACTTTTAACTATGCTGCTTCTATACATCTCTGTCCTCCCTCCCTTATGTTGTTGTCATAAATTGTATGCACTATAACATAGATTTATAGTTATTTTTATGTCATTGTCTTTTAAATTCTGTAGGAAGTAAAAGGTAGAGTTACAAACCAAAAATACAATAATACTTGTTTTTGTATTTGCCCATGTATTTACCTTTACTGGAGATCTGTATTTCTTCATGACTTCGGTTACTTTTTCTTTTTCCTTCATTTCAATCTGAAGGAGTTCCTTCAGCATTTCTTATAAGACAGGCCTAGTGATAACAAATTCCCTCAGCTCTTCTTTATCTGTAAATGTCTTAATTTCTCCTTCATATTTGAAGGAGAGTTTTCTGGACACTGCCTTGAAGTTGATC